ACCACCAGGAGTCATCCCTGAGTACAGACCCAGGAGTAAGCCCTAAGCAGGGCAGGGTGTGTGCCCCTCCCAACCAAAGGCCCAGGGAGAGCGTACATGGGGGTGTATTAAGTACATTGTGTTGTGTGTGGCTTATCCTAGTTTTATCCCCTGAGCACTGCCAGGTGCAGCCCAAATCTGCCCTCACCCTAATAATAATAATAATAATAATCCATGTACTATTGAAATTTAATTTTCTTGTTATGAAAACTACCTTATAGGGAAGAATGGAATTCTACAAAGTCCTTCTCTATAGTGGTATACAGGGTGAAATTGTTGTTCACAATATCAATGCTTTGCTCATTTTGGCTCTGATTTTCCTTCCTCTGATTATCCTTCCTTATTCATAATAAAGGTCCAGGAGTTTTGTGAGGCAAAACTCGCAGAATTGAAATTTAACAGGTCTATGTGGCAGCTGGTACCTTCTCTGAGCATGTGATGGCACGTGATGGCAAGTACATGAGAGTGTTAGACCAACTCACCTACTGACATGAGTCTATCTGTGTGATTCCACCCAGCCGAAGCCGTAATGCCAGATCTGACAGTTACTCTTAAGGTGGTGCCCTATTCTGGAGCAGGGATGGGCCTGGGTCCTAATGGACCTGCTGGTGGAGATCAGGCCAGGGATGGGAGCACTGAGTGGAGGAGCACGAGACCCTGGGGAGGAGCAACATGCGTCTTTAATGGGAAAATGAACTTCAAAGCTAGGATTAGGGGAAGTTCTGCATAATCAAGAGGGGGTGCTGCTGAGTACTCATAAACAGGCCATGACTGAATAGCATTTTTCTTTTTTAAGATTTTTTTTATTAAAACACTGTGAGACCCTTAATAAAGCTGTTGATGATTAGGTTTCAGTTGTACAGTGTTCCAATACCCATCCCTCCATCAGTGTATACTTCCCAGTACAAATGTTCCCCTCTCTCTCTCCCCCCCCCCCCCCACTTTCTCTCTCTCAGATTCCACGAAGAGGGACTAAAATGAGCACAGCTTAGTCTTGCTTGCCATGAGCTCTCAGGATGTTTCCTCTGCAAGAGGAACAAGTCAGGTCTATCCCATTTCTTGGTTATAGGAAGGATGGTAACCACACACACACACACACACAAGTGTGTGTGTGTGTGTCTATGTCTATATAGCACAGTGGGTAGGGCGTTTGCCTTGCATGCGGCCAACCCGGGTTTGATTTCCCCATCCCTCTCGGAGAGCCAGGCAAGCTACCAAGAGTATCCCGCCCGCATGGCAGAGCCTGGCAAGCTCCCCGTGGCATATTCGATATGCCAAAAACAGTAACAATTCTCACAATGGAGACGTTACTGGTACCCGCTCAAGCAAATCAATGAACAATGGGAGGACAGTGCTACTGTGCAGTGTGTGTGTGTGTGTATTAGTGAACTAAGATGATGAAATCTGTAGAACAATCATTTTACGTTGTTTTAGAAGCTAAACTAGCTGAAGGTAGATGGCAGATGGCAGAAAAGTCTACTATCTGGGTATTCTGCACTGCCATGGACAGTACTGAGGCGTGCCCAGATTCAGAGCACTGTGGAGAAGGGGGCGTTGCTAATCTAGTTCTCTGCATGAGGTTATATATCATGCTGTCTACTACACGCTCCTACTCCCTCCCTCTACTCAGGAATTAGTTTAGGAACAATACTGCTAAGAACGAAGTTCTTTCACATTTCATTTCCAAAGCAATTTCTTTTTTAAAACTGCCATTATTCCAAATCAAAGCACTCTTCAAGTTGTCAACGGAAGTGAGACATTGAAAGCCTTCAACTGGCAGTGTCTTGCTGAGGTCCAGAAGAATGGACCCCTGAGCGGGGCTGATTTTAGGCCCGAGGCAGAACAAAGAAGCGCACCTCTTACAGAGCTGGGCACCACTACTGCCTGTGACTCTAAGGGCTGGGACTGTAGACTGATTTGAAAACCTGGCATGACTAATTGCAGCAGGCAGCCCTTGTAAGGGCCGATGCATTTATAAATAGATCAGCGCCTTAGACTTAGGTCTTCCAGAACATCTCAGAAGTGGTTTTGTAGATTTTACGGATATTAAGGAAGATGACAATGAAGTAAACAGATGCTACAAGTTCTGACAAATGTATACACCCATGTAATCAGCACTCCAAGACGGAGAGCATTTCAGTCACCCAGAAAATTCTTTATGGCCCTTTCCAGGCAGACCTGCCACTTCATCTTCAATGAGAACCACTCCTAGGATTTCTATTCCTGGCCTTATTATTGTCCATTCTTGAAATTAACGTAAATATGATTAATCTCGGGGCCAGAGATAGTACAGGCAGGAGGGTGGGGAGCACTTGCCTTACTAACCAGGTTCAATCCAGAGCATCACATGTGGTTCCCTGAGCACAGCTGTGTGTGGTCCAAAACCAAGCAAACAAAGACAACACTATGTTGGCAAAAGGCTATACACAAGCCTATGGAACAGTCTTTTTTTATGGGCCTATAGTTCAAAAATAGAGCCTCCCCCCCAATATAGTTAAGTAGTTTTTATTAAGTCTTACTAGTACTGTATCTTGGTAGTAGCCCTTTGTCAGATGATTGATGGGCAAGTACTTCTCCCAGAGGCTCTCTGACCTCTGTCTTAATGATTCCAGTTGCTCTCAAGACCCAGGGCGCAACCTTGCAGATGCTAATGATGGGAGATGCTCCAGGCTGGAGGTCAGGATGATCCACTGTGGGGTTTAACACAGTTTTCTTCTCAAAGATTAGTCTTGTTGCAATGTCTGAAAATACCTGCCCACTATTTTATTGCTTGGGGTTAAAGGGTACATATATCTGGCATTAATTACTTGGTGATTTATTGTAACATAATGCTGCTTTTGTAAAATCAAAGATCCTAGGGAAAATAATATTCTGATAGTTCCGCTGAGGGACTTCATCTGAAATTCATCAAATAAGTAATCATCTTCAGATTAACCTGAAATATCCAATCATTCATGTCTAATTCTCTTTTCTATACCTCATAATATATAATAGATACCCTATAGAGCAATACATTGTAAAGATGCACAACCAATGAGATTCCTATCTGCAGGGAGATTTTAATCTTGTAAATAAGACAAATGTCACACATCTATCTTGTTCCCCTTTGAAGTAACACATCTAGAATGTGTAGCACTGTGTACAGAATTGACAACAGATAAAAGCAGAAGGTTGGACTTCCTACATCCCACTACATCATCCTTATCAGGTGGGGAACAAATTATGGGGGAAATGGGTAGAACATAGATATTTAGACTTAGTTACAGAAAGTTCACAATAATTTTTACCTTGAGACACGTCATTTCACAAATAAGTCAAGTGACTTTTATGACTTTTTAGGAGCCATTATTTGGTCCAGAAGTAAGTAGGGACCAAAGTCTCATTTGCAGAGCCTTGATCTGATTTCTATTTTCTTGATTGTAGGCATATTCTGCTTCCCCACATATGATCTATCCTAGAGAGTGGGCAACGGACAGGAGTATGTGCTCAGCTTTTTGGGGAGGGATTGCCAAATAAATGTCTGTTAAGACAAGCACTTCCATTTCATCCTGTGATGTTCTTTCCTTACTGTCTCTCTGGTTAATCTACTCCGGGGTGCTATTAAGATCTCTTTCTCTTGATGTGCCACTGTCTATATCATCCTCCTAGCCTGTTAGCTGTAGTTTTATGTATTTTGATACTCCCTCATTTGGCACATACATATTAATGCCTGTTAAGTCTTCTTGATTTATAGATCCTCTGTTTATATAATGGCCAGCTTTCTTTTTTATACCACTTTAGTTTAATAGTCTACTTTGTCTAATGTAAGTATAGCATCCCAGTCTTTTACTTTGAGCTTGTGTTTATTGTGAAAGTTCAAGAGTGTCTCTTGTAAGCAGCAGATGGTAGAATTCAACTTTCTGATCCATTTAGCCACTCTGTGCCCTTACACTGGCCACTGACATTAAAATCATTCAACTATGACAATTGAATGCCATCTTTTTGTATAGGTTCTGGTTCTATGTGTAGTCTTTGTTCTTTTGGGGGGGGTAGTTTTGGGGATATATCTAGTGATGCTCAGGGCTTACTCTTGATCTGTATTCGGCGATCACTTCTGGCAGTGCTTGGAGAATCATATGTGGTTCTGGGGATCAAACTAGGTTTGGCTGCGTGCAAAGTAAGTGCCTTACTCCTGGAACAATTTCTCAGGCCCTCTTTGTTTCTTTTAAAAGTGTTCATTCAGGGGCTGGAGCGATAGCACAGCAAGTAAGGCGTTTGCCTTGCACGCAGCCAACATGGCTGACACAGGTTCGATTCCCAGCATCCCATATGGTCCCCCGAGAATCGCCAGGAGCAATTCCTGAGTGCATGAGCCAGGAGTAATCCCTGAGAATTGCCAGATGTGACCCAAAAAGCAAACAAAAACAAAAACAAAAAAAAAGTATTCATTCATTATACAACTCTTTTGGGTTGTTTGTAAATATCTAACCAACAATAAAGTCTGACTAATAGAAGCCCAAGATGTATAAACTCTTGACGTTGGAAGTAGGAACCATTTTTAATATGCTAATTTCTCCTAACACTATAGATCCAGGTTAGCAAATCAATAAATACTCTGAGCTTTGCAAATCACCGGGTCATAACTACTCAACTCTACTACTGTAGCATGAAATGGATGATATGTAAATAAATAAGCCTACCTGTTTTTGCATAAATTTTATAACAAAAACAGGCATCTAGCTGAAATTTGGCATTAAGGCTGGAAAAGTTTACATGAATATAACCCAGCAAAATTTTAATATCTTGTCAATTGCCATTTATTACTTAGTAACTATCTTTTCTATTAAAAGATAAAAATGTTACCTCAACATTCCCTCTAAGTGACCAAAGTGGTGGTAAAGAGGCCCCTTTCCACATGCTACCTGCTTATTCAGTATTCTGCATTCTGTGACTTCAAAATGAAACATCTCTTCTCTTGACAGATAAACACTACCTGTGGAGAGTGGTGAGAGGACTTTCCTGAAGTGGCCTGAAGTGGGAACGTGCTAGTCAACGTCACGTGGATACTCAGGGTTTTCTTTCAAAGATGCTGCTGAAATAGTCCTTGTGGCTGCTTTCCTTCACTCTTCATAACATGGGCTGCATGAAATCAAAGCAGACTTTCCCATTTCCTAACACATTTGATACTGGGAAGCAAAATGCAAGTAAAGAAAGCTTTATATCTGATGACAGATTTCTACCCAGGAAGCCTTCTTCATCTTGTGTCATGGAGGACATGAAGGAATCCCCAGTGGCCAGTGTGGCAATCACCAATTTTGCAGACCGCCTGTCCCAGAAAATCATAAGCGATGCCATACAACAGTGGGCAAGCAACAACGTCAAGTACCACGACATTCCATACATTGAAAGTGATGGGCAGTGATGCTGTAGGAGAACAGCTCTTTCTTGACCTGTAGATAAGAGCTGGTGCTAGTTTCCACAGGGGGAACTAAAGCCAAAACTGGTGTGAATAAATACAAGTAACTTCATCTGTTCTAGTAAGTCTGTATTAGCAGCAATTTTTATCTGCTAAGTTTTGAATTTTGGTCTTTCAAAGGGTTAACCATAGGTTCTGTGGCACCACAGGAATCAGCTACATGTCCTATCAAGTTCTCCCTGAGGAAGTAGAATTATTACCAAAGAAGAAATTTAAAGAGCCACACATTTCCAAGTGGTTATTTTAAAGACATCTATGGTGGGTGGTGGGGAGGGGGCTACAGGGTGTGTGTGTGTGTGTGTGTGTGTGTGTGTGTGTGTGTGTGAGACCAAAGCCTGGACCGTATACATATGAAGTATGTGCACTACCACTAAAGCTAACTACAGACCCTACTACTGAAACAGTGGCTGTAAAATATCTATATTCATTTATACCCCAAAATCAAGATATGAAGTGAAATTTTCTTGAAATGCAAGGGAATGGCACTCAAGTCACGGTACTAATAACTGGCGGTCCTGTTTGTGTCCAAAAACCATGTGCCGAGGATCCCTACTTCACAAATGACCCAGTATCAGAAAATAGCCCTTGTAGGAGAGGTCTATGTGAGCCTATACAAAAGATGCCTTTGCCCCATCACATAAACAAGCATAACAATTACCTTGAACCTCTGACTAGCCACAGCTGCTCCTTGATGACTTTATATCTCAGACAAGAGTTTGCAGAAATCGTGACAGTGATGATTATTGCTTGAAAACAAGAAGCCCCATGATATACAAAAAAAGTACTAAAGGCCATACATAGAAACCAAGTCCTGATTGCTTTTAGTACTGAAAGTGTTAACTTTACAGTCTCAAAGACACAGAGCTCACATACTTTTGAAAAAAAACTGACTAGATGGCTGATCACCAAATCTTACTACTATGAGACAAAATCATACATGAGTAGTTTTTTTTATAAAATATCACTATTCCAAAGTACACATTTGATGATAACGATACTCATAGGGCAGTTATAGCTATGTACTATTTTTAAAAATAGCCTTCTCCCCTCAACCCCAAATCCCAATTTGGGAAAGTTGTCAGTACACATCTCATTTTTAAAAAAGAATAGCACATTGTTATCATTTTGAATTGGAAAAAGTGGAAGTCTTTAATCTTCATCAAGATTTGCACATGCTGAGTATCACTGGAGTTTTATTGAAGGTCATGAGTATCAGGTCTTTTATTAGTTTTGTGATTAAAATCAAAAGGCAAGAAAACATTTGTAATTTTTAAAATTATACATATACACACATATATGTATGTATATATAGAAAGGCAGAAATACTTGAAACTTGCAGTTTAAATGAATGATCTCTCCAAGTTACATGGGGGTGAGGGAGCTACTTTGAGTAGTATGCAATTTTTCAGTTGTCTTGCAATACCTGATCAACTTCCATTTCACCTAATCTCAGAATCTGTGCTATCTAATGTACTTGCACAATTGAGCAAAACTATAAAACAGATGAAATTCATACATGAAGTTTTGATGCTAGGAGCAGAGTCCCCAAAATGCAAACCTATTTATAGATCATTAAAAAAAACTATTTTTCTGGGGTGGGGGGTGTTGTGTTTTGGTTTTGATGGCACTGGGGTTGAACCCAATGCAAAAAAAAATTAGGCTTTTGAATAAAACTTAACCTAGTAACTCAAATCTCTAGCCACATTTTATCAATTTTATATCAGGCATCAGGACATTTTTTACAAGTAATTTGCTGTTTTAAGAATTTAATTAGGGCTGGAGAAGTATAAGACACCTGCTGACTGCATACAGCTAACACCCATCTGGTTCCTTAAAGCACCATCAAGGGTCACTCCTGAGCACTACTGGGTGTGGCCCACCCCCTATAAGAAAAAGATTTAAATATATATTTATATATATACAATATCATGGCAAGAATTGAAAAGCCATATAAAGTAGCATGTCAAAAGCTTTATTTTAGCGCACATAGAGTTGTAGATTGGTGGCATTTGGTCAAGTCTAAATTATTTTAGCCTCAGGTTTCTCCTTTGCTCTGGGGCCCTATATACCAGGAATATAACAGGGATTTCTGCCAGACCCATATGTAGCTAGAAGTCTAATCTCTGTTCCCTCTCTGACACTGAGGCAGTAGTTTTTGTCATCAAGCACTACCCATGGGTCCCTGGGTCATTTAGTAGAGTATGATATGACATATAGGGCTTTATCTTGGTTATGAAAGATATATATCAAACCATGGACCACGAACTACAAGACTCGCAAATCAGTGAATTAGCAGATAAACCAAGTTGGGGAGGAGAAAGAGCTGGATACACAAATCTGCATTGCATGAGACTGTTAACAAGATAAACAATTTTCTGTAAGCTTCCAGATCACAGGTCCCTGGGGTGTGGGGTCAGATGAAGTGTGTGCATGGGAAAGACACAGAACGTAGTCAGGCCTATGAGGGTCGCCTTTTTTCTTAACACGTACAGACATTTTTGCTTTTTTCCCTAAACAATATAGTGTAACAACTATTTACAAAGCACTTAAAGAGTAACAGAAACAAGTAATCTAGAGATGATTTAAAGTATTGCACATTTTACCAAAAGAACTTGGGCATCTTTTGGTTCTGGTATCTTGGAGGTGGGATTAGAGCATATCCCCTGCAGATATAAGGGTTGATTATAGACCTTGTAACAGTGAAATGGGGACATCTTTTATAGGACAGTTTTATTTCAATACTTTAAATACTGGCTTTTCCTGAATGCCTTTGATGAACAATGTCAGAATACAGAGCCTGTTTGGAAGGAAGCTGAGGTGTAAACAAAAGACTGAAAGAATCGTTAGCTACTAGAAAGAAAAAATACTGGTTCCAACTGAAATCACAAAGGAGGTAAAAGCAGTGGCCAGGATCTGTTTGGCTATCAAAATCTTGGACAGTAACTGAGTCAAGATGCTGCGAACTTTGCTGGTGCTTTGTCATAATATCCAGAGGCACAGAAGTACTGCTTCACACAGGCAATAAAGTTTCCAGAGCAACAAAGGTTCTCTGAGGATGATAATGCCAGTGCATCTACAGGCTGGGGTGGCTGCTTCCCTTTGGAGAGATTCTTAACAGTTGGTGGAATAGCTTGTACCATACAGCGACCTGTTCATGGCTGCAATCCCAAGAAGTGGGATTAACTTCAGTTGATCATCCCAGCCATCAGCTGGTTTGGCGGACTAGTGGAGTTTTTGGGGATCAGCATTTATTATAAACATTGTAACTGCCACAAATAAAGCTGTTTTTACCATGGGGGGGGGGGATCCCCACCAAAACTAACCAAAAACCAGTGGCGAAATTATAAGTTAAAGCGTAGGAATAGGAAGGCCCAAACAATGACACTCAGCACTCAGGCTTCGTCGGAAGCAGCACTCTAAAAACGAATTTCCAGTGTTTGCAGCTGGAGGAAGGGACAAGGTGGTACCTTCACCATGCTGAGCCATACCCAGCCACTGTATCGCTCTCCTTAAGAACATCCCGGGAAGGGTCTGGAGTGATAGCACAGCAGGTAGGGCGTTTGCCTTGCACACGGCTGACCCAGGTTTGATTCCCAGCATCCTATATGGACCCCTGAGCACCACCAGGCATAATTCCTGAGTGCAGAGCCAGGAGTAACCACTGTGCATTGCCGAGTGTGACCCAAAAAGCCAAAAAACAAACAAAAAAAACCCCACCTAGGACAGGGGCAGTTGAGTGCTACCAGTGCAACAAAGAACCTGCAGGTGGCAACTCTGTAGGAAACGTGCCCGTCCCCCCTCTATAAAGCCTGAACCTCAGATGGCTGCCCTGCTCTCCCACAGCACTGTTGGCTCTTTTTCAGTTTCAGGCCTTTGATCCAAGAAGTCGCTACTTTCAGTTGCCTTATGAGTTCTTTGCAAACTACTTCTAGTTATTAGCACATAAAGCACAAGTTCGAAGGGAATCAGGAATAAGACGATCTTACTCCCAAAGGAACCCCCTTTTGTCAAATTGCCTTATTAGTACCAAAACAGGTAGAGTAACATGAAATTTATCAGCCCTTACTCAGTTTGGTTGGCATTTCCGGAGTTATGGGGAAGCAAACTTCTGTGTTAGTTTTAGAAATGAAAAATTCAGGACAACACTCTACATGAACTCAAGGACCAGCAAAAACAAAGTTGTAACAGATGATTGCTGAACCCCAGCACCCTCACCTGGGGTTGGTATGACCAAACAGGACTTCCTGGAGCAGCAGACCTGAGTTCAGAAGTGCTCCCCACTTCTTCATTTACAGAACTCAGTTTTGTTACCAAATTCTCTTCACTGTAAGACCGAACTATGATATAGTCTATTTTTTTCCAAATGGCTCTGTGAAAACATTTTTGTAACTGTACAATAAAAGCTTCGCTGAAACTATGAGTTCTAATTGAAGTAAGCCATTGCTTGTCAACATGATGTTTTATGCTACACTTTCGAATTCTCACAGCAAAGATTTAATGTATTTGATGCATTTCTTTTGGGGTGTCCCACAGTGACCTTAAGAGGCCTGTGGGTCCCTCCCACCTGTTTTTAGCTAACCAGCTACTGCGGGGGGGGGGGGGTTGGGGGGCCGGGCACAGTGGGCGCAGAATTATCTTGCCATCTCCGAGGCTCCTGAGGGCCTCCAGGGCTGTAGCACCCTGTGATGTTCGAGGGACCATGTGGTGCGAGGAATGGAATTGGGATTGGCCACCTGCAAGGCCTGCGCCTTAATCCTGGTACTCCCTCTCCAGTCCCTCTTTTCTGCATTTGCATCCAATAAGTGAATAAAAAATTCTTTCATACAAATAATTTATCAGATCATGTAGTTGGTCCTCCAAGTAGGAGGGATTTTGTTGTTTTTGTGTTGCTTTTCAGGTACTGCTCAGGGACTGCTCCTGGTTCTGTACTCAGGATCACCCATGGTGGGTCCAGGGTACCATATGCTGTGCAGGAGATTAAACTGGGGCAAGTGGCCTAACCACTCTACTCTTTTCGTAGTCCCCACAATGGAGAGTTTTAAGAATAAACAGGAGAGCTAGAAATCCAGCACAATGGGTTGGTGTACATGCTTTGCGAGCAGGAAGCCTAGGTTCTATTCCTAGCACTGCATGGTTCCCCAAGCTCCGCCACGAGTGACCCCTGACCATGACTGGGTGTGAGCCCCAAACCAAATCAACCAGAATCAACCCAGAATCAACCCAGTAATCAAACCTGTGGGCTCCCTCTGAAATATCTCTCAACCCTTATGATGGTCCTGAAACTATAATGTACATATAAGTTTAATTAATAAAACCTTAGTATAAAACATAAAGTTCCTACTTTAATTACACATTTCACATGCATTAATGGCCTTCAAAAATAGGAACTGATGAAATTTTCTGTAAAGGACCAGGGTAAATATTTCAGGCTTTGGAAGCCTTATAATCTCTACTGAAGCTATTCAACTTAAAAGAGCTATATATGTAAAGAATACAGTATAAGCCAATAAAGCTTTATTTATGGACATTGATATGTGAATTTCATATAATTCTTACATCATGAAACATTAGTCTTTGATTAGTCTGATTTCTTTCCCCAAACACTGAAAAAAAAGTAACTCCAAATTCAACACATGGGCCAGAATTTGCCAAATTCTCCTCCAAAATACCTTAAAAATAGAGTCACCTCAAAATTTTAAATCATTACTTCCCAGAGATTTAAAAAGATCTTTCAAGTCTTCATCAGTAACTTCTTTTAGATCAGCTGGTTTCCACTTCGGACTTTGGTCTTTATCTATTAACACTATCAAGAAAAGAAATAGATGTTAGCACATTTCTGATACTGCCAGAATTTAATTACTGAACTGACGGAACTACCTTGCATTAGGCATATTTTTCAACAGCATGAGTATATTCTGCAAAGTTAAATTTTGTACATTTAAATTTTTCTGCTAAATTAAGCTTCCATAGAATTTAGATGGATATCAGCATACTAGTCGTGAGTATAATGATCTCAAGATTATATTTTAACTTAAGCCTCATGTCTCTAGTTTAAATAAAGTCATGTGAACTGATCAGTGGAGTAAGCCATAGAACTTTTTTCTTCAACAAAATGAAAACTGAAACTCCATGTTATAAAATTGCTAAAACTCAAGTTAGTGTATTACACAAAGAAAACAGGGGCAAGTGCAAGGCCCAGACCAGCCTCATAACCTCCTCCATACTGAATTTCAGGAGGAGAGAGGGGACTTTATGTATAACTAATTGTGAATTCTATTGTTTTGCTGAATCTCCTAGTTCACACAGCTCTGAATTAAAGTTCCAGACTTTTCTTCAGGTTATCATGAAACCCTCCTCCTCTAATTTCACACAGTCATCACTCAATAACCACAGAGTATCCCCACAGGATTTATGAGTATGAGGTAATCTGTAACCTCTCCTTTAATAAGGAAGGCAAATGTCAATATCCTGGTTGTGACACTATTTTATAAAAGTAAAGTAAAGGCCCTCCTGTTGATCATCGATTTGCTCGAGCGGGCCCAGTAACGTCCCCATTGGAGACTTTGTTGTTACTGTGTCTGGCATATCGAATACGTCACGGGGAGCTTGCCAGGCTCTGCCATGCGGGCGAGATACTCTCGGTAGCTTGCCGGGCTCTCCGAGAGGGGCGGAGGAATCGAACTCGGGTCGGCCATGTTGGCTGTGTGCAAGGCAAACGCCCTACCGCTGTGCTATCGCTCCAGCCTATCGCCATTAGGGAAACTGGGCAGGAGGTCTGCAGAGCTTCTGTGTAATGCCTTCCCAGTGCATGTGCATCAATCACTGTTACCGAGCTAAAAAAAGGGGGGAGGGGGAATAGGGTCTAGGCTGAATGCGGCTGTGGAAGGGACATAGGCTAATGCATAAAAAAGCACATGGTTCTTGTGAAGTATAGAAATGTCTAGACACGAAAGCTCTAGGGTGAAGCTAAAGAACAAATTTAGCATTACAACAACAAAAACAAAAAAGCCAGTCTGGAAACCCAAGAGGCAGGCTGCCTCTGGAGGTAGAGGGGAAGGTGGCTTTCTGCAGAATTAGAGGTGTGTGTTTGGGGGGGAGCGGGGGAGGTATCTGTAGGTTTGGCTGCCAACCAACCCTACTCCAGCATCAGGTAAGTGCTGATACTGAATGGCATGTTATGATGGGATTGTGATCACACCCAAAAGTGTTTGGGGGACCTGGTGGTGCTGGAGAACAAATCAAGGATATGCTGAAAAGTGAGGCAACGCATACTCTTCATTGGAAAGTAACACAAAAAGCACCTGCACAGTGAGTCAGAACTTTGAGACAACCTGGCTTCATCCCTTTCTCCTTAAAATAACTTTGCACTAGAAAATATTATTTCTTTCAGTTTGAGAAGGACTATTTCAGCAACATAACTAAAGGAACACTCAGGTTCTCCTAAAATAAGAGGGAGAGGGAGAGGTAGAGAGAGAGTGAGAGGGGGAGAAGGAGGGGGAGAGAGACCCCATTATTGAGTCAGGGTGATACATCCAAACATCTAAGGGTGAGCGTACATGCTTAGCATGCAAGAGGCCTGGGTTCAGCCCCCAGTACCACATGGTTCCCAGGCACCTGAGCAGCACTGAGTATGGTGCCAAACCAAAAAATAATAAAAATTAAAATGAGTACTGGTTTCTGTAAAACACACAGTCATCTCCTCTGACTAACTCCATGTCTTCTAAGAGAATGTGAGCTTGATTTTTATATCACATGATGATATAAAAATTACCCTAGAAATCAAGAGTAATGCATTCTAGAGCAGTGAATGGTATTTATTAACATCTACAGCTCTGAGTATATAACCTTTCATTCAGATGTCTAAATGTCTATTCGGAATCTGTACTATGTTGATCAATAAAACATAGGAAAATTAGAGATGCAAAAACAGGAGAAACAACTCATGTAAAATAAACAGTGATTGTAGGGATAAGGACTTACACATTAAAAAGCAACTGTGCACATTTGCTAGGAACAGCATCAGTCATGAGATAATTTCAGACAAGGTAGAGAATATTAATCTGTAATTAATCTGTAAGTGAACAACACTGGTTATGTTGTATAATTTTTTTCTAGCAGTGTTCAACTGCTCTGGTGCAAGCAAGGAGCTGGACATTTATTTATTTTTATTTTTATTTTTTTGCTTTTTGGGTCACACCCGGCGATGTTCAGGGGTTACTCCTGCAAAGCCATTGCACTCAGGAATCACTCCTGGCAGTGCTTGGGAGACCATATGGGATGCTGGGAATCGAACCCAGGTGGGCCGCAAGGCAAACGCCCTATCTGCTGTGCTATTTGTTCCAGCCCCGGAGGCTTTGGCATTGCTGAACCATGGCCCAGTCAGTAGAAGAGGGAGCTGGGAGGGGACTTGAGAGGTATCCTGGCAAAAATAAACACAGCTTACAAAGACCAAAGCAGCAGAGAGTGCTCAAATGCTCTGTGGCCCTAGAGGCAGGCCAGGGGCTGAGAGGGCAGATAACCACCCAACAGATAACAAGATTAGAGAAATCTCTGTGGTTTCAAAAACTTGGTCTTCCTTTTTCATGTCAGCTGACAACATGAAAACAAAATAAAACTTTGCAATCTTTACAAGAATGTAATATTGACTAATAAAGTAACTATTGTTTTTGGTTAATAGATGCTCAGGAGTCCTCCACGGGAAGGAAAAGGTCGTTTGTCACTCACCTGCTCTAACCCCTTCATGAAAGTCATGGCCTCCCTGTAAGAAAACAGAGGTTAGATGGGGGAATTTCCCGTCCCAACCAGGACTGTGCCATTCAGAGAGTGACCCCCCCTCTGAGAGCCCACACTAACTCACCATCTTTGTTCTCCACTGCTGCCAATTCCTGCTTCCCTGCGGAGCTCCTCTGAAGCTGCTTTCCCCTCCAACCCCCACTATCTATGGCAGCACTTTGCTTTTCAATTGGCCCACTTTCCCCAGCCCATTAAATGTAGTCACTTTTCTTTGAAAATATGCTCATCTCCTTCAAGCCTTTCTATCTCTGGGACAAAAAAAAACTTTAAAAACTCCAGCACCAGTGCAACCCTGCTACTATCTCTACTGACATCCAGGTTGCTAAATCTGCTGAGGAAAAAACAAAACAAACGGACAAAAATAAAGCCACCATACAATTTTGACTGGTTTCACTGAAAGTCTATGATCACAAAGCTCACATAGACATGGAATACTATCCTACAGTCGTTTTCTCTTTCTCATTCCCAGACAGTCCAACTGATTTCTGCCTCCTCAATCTCTACCCCTTGCACACTTAATTCTCATTTATTCTCAGCCCTAACGATCTGCCCCTTCTGAAATGATTCGGCAGATTCACCCACAATTTCCATGTTGCAAATTAACCTAAGGGTCCTCTGTACATAAAAAGAGAAGGCATTTTTATTCAAAGTTGAAAGAAAAAATCACTATGATTCTTAAGTGTTCCATAAAATTCTTTGTGTATTTACAATACTGGGCTGGAGCAATAGCACTGCGGTTACTGCATTTGCCTTGCATGTGGCCGACCAGGGCTCGATTCCTCAGTCCCTCTTGGAGAGTCCAGCAAGCTACCGAGAGTATCCCGCCTGCACCAGGCAGAGCCTGGCAAGCTCCCTGTGGCATATTTGATATGCCAAAAACAGTAACAAGTCTCACAATGGAGATGTTACCGTGCCCGCTTGAGCAAATCAATGAACAACAGGAGGACAGTGCTACAGTGCTACATTTACAATACTATTTTCAATGCTAAGTTCATAATGAAAATGTCAGACTAGTAACTTGCAGTGTACATTTATTTTTCTACTTGTCTACTTATACTATAGTCACCAGGATGATGTCTTAAAATGATCACATTTTGCTTTGAATGCCACATGAGATAAGGAATTCTTATCCTTAAATACTGCAAATCAACTTGTTTCACAAAGCCCTAGAGAAGCAATATTGCTGTATATCTTTTTATTATTATTATTATTATTATTGAATCACCGTGAGCTACAGTTACAAAACTTTCATTTTTTTCCCCCTTTTTTGGGGGGATGTCACACCCGGCGATGTCCAGGGGTTACTCCTGGCTCATGCACTCAGAAATTACTCCTGGCAGTGCTCAGTGGACCATATGGGATGCTGAGAATCGAACCCAGGTTGGCCGTGTGCAAGGTAAACGCCCTACCCGCTGTGCTATCACTCCAGCCCCAAAACTTTCATGTTTGAGTTTCAGTCATACAGTGATCAAACATCCATCCCTCCACCAGTGCACATTTTCTACCACCAATGTCCCCAGTATCACTCCCTGCTTCTCTCCCCACCCCGCCCCATTCCACCCCTCCCCTTGCCTCTATGGCAGACAATTTCCCTCTTACTCTCTTTCTACTTATGAGTATTATGGTTTGCAGTACAGATAATGAGAGGCAATCATGTTTGGTCCTTTATCTACTTTCATATTGCTATATATCTTAAGCCAATTCCATGCTATGTTTTCACAGAATAGATTTGCAGGTAGTCTGAGTATTCTTGCTTATAGCTTTCTGATTTTCACATGTTCTACAATGAACACTTATTATTTTACTCACTAGAAAATGACATTTAAAAATTCTTACCATACAAGCTTGACTCAGCCGATATTCCATCGTTAATACTTCTTGCAAAGTCTTCGAAGACCCCTCTGTGAGTTGCCTCAGTGTGATCTTTAGTGATGTTGGAGACATTTTATTAATTACCTATTGGAAAAAAATTTAATTTACTAATTTTGGATCAATTTATTGTTTGTAATAAGCCAGTTGAGTTGAGCATTGGTATAAATAACAGTTAAATATGTCCCTTACCAAGTAAAGGACCTGTACAAAGAAAACTACAAAACGCTACTTCAGGAAATAAAAGAGGACATGAGGAAATGGAAAGATACCCCCTGCTCATGGGTCGGGAGACTTAACATTGTCAAAATGGCAATACTACCGAAAGCATTGTATAAATTCAATGCAATCCATATAAGGATCCCCATGACATTCTTCAAAGAAATGGAGCAAACACTCCTGAAATTTATATGGAACAATAAGCCCCCACGAATAGCTAAAGCAATTCTTGGGAAAAAGAAAATGGGAGGAATCAACCTCCCGAACTTCAAACTGTACTACAAAGCAGTAATAATTAAAACAGCATGGTACTGGAACAAAGGCAGAACTGAAGACCAATGGAACAGGGTTGAATACACTGACATCTCCCCTCAATCATATGATCATCTAATCTTTGATAAAGGTGCAAGTAATGTGGAGTAAGGAAAGCCTCTTTAACAAATTGTGCTGGCATCACTGGACGGCTACATGCAAAAAAATGGGCTCAGAACTCTGCCTAACACCATGTACAAAAGTAAGATCAAAATGGATTAAAGACCTCAACATCAGACCAGAAACCATAAGGTACATTGAAGACAAAGTTGGCAAAACCCTCCATGACATTGAAGCTAATGGTATCTTCAAAGATACCACGCCACTGTCTGAGCAAGTGAAAACAGAGATAGATAAATGGGACTATCTTAAACTAAGAAGCTTCTGCACCACCAAAGAAACAGTGACCAAAATACAAAGACAGTCTACAGAATGGGAAAGGATATTCGCCGAATACACATCTGACAAGGGGTTGATATCCAGGATATACAAAATACTGGTTAAACTCCACAAGAAGAAAACATCCAACCCCATCCAAAAATGGGGCAATGAAATGAACAGAAACTTTCTCAAAGAAGAAATCCAATTGGCAAAAAAGCACATGAAAAAATGCTCTACATCATTAATCATCAGGGAGATTCAGATCAAAACCACAATGAGATACCATCTCACACCTCAGAGACTGGCCCACATTCAAAAGAACAAAAGCAACCGATTCTGGCGTGGATGTAGCGAGAAAGGGACACTCCTTCACTGTTGGTGGGAATGCCGACTGGTTCAGCCCTTCTGGAAAACAGTATGGACGATTCTCAAAAAATTAGAAATTGAGCTCCCATTTGACCCAGCATTACCACTCCTGGGAATATATCCCAGAGAGGCAAAAATGTATAGTCGAAGTGACATCTGCACTTGTTTGTTCATTGCAGCACTCTGCAATAGCCAGAAACTGGAAGAAACCCGAATGCCCAAGAACAGATGACTGGTTAAAGAAACTTTGGTACATCTACACAATGGAGTACTATGTAGCTGTTAGAAAAGATGAAGTCATGAAATTTACATACAAGTGGTACAACATGGAAAGTATCATGCTAAGCGAAATGAGTCAGAAAGAGAGGGATAGACATAGAAAGATTTCATTCATCTGGGGGATATAAAGTAACAAAGTATGAGATTAATACCCAAGAATAGCTGAGATCAGCACCAGGAGGATTACTCCATAGCTTAGTGACCAGCCGGGCATTCTAGAGGAAAGGGCAGCTCAGATAGAGAAGGGAGCACCAAATAAAGGGTGTTTGGAGGATCCTCCCAGGAGGGGAGATGCATGTCGAAAGTGGACTATGGACTGAACATGTTTGCCACTCAATGCCTCTTTTGCAGACCACAACACCCAAAAGGAGAGAGAGAACACAGGGGATTGCCCTGCCACAGAGGCAGGGGGGATGGGGGTTGGGGGTGGGGGGGATATTATCCATGGTGGTGGAAAATGGGCACTGGTGGAGGGATGGGTATCTTATCATTGTATAATTGAAACCCAAGCACAAAAAATTGTAAATCTACAACTGTACCTCATGGTGTTTCACTAATAAAAAAAAAATAAAAAAAATATGTCCCTTACCAGTACTTTCATCCACTTACCTTGGAAATAAGGAAGGACAACAATTCAAAAGTCACTTGTATTCCTGAATAAAATAAGAATGCTGGGCCTGACAACTGCAAGAACAGTTGCAAAAACCACTTCCTTCTGCATTTAGAAGTGATACTGCTACCATTATATGTGTAAGGGTCATAAATTGCAAGAATCAAAAATCTGAAGCTTGCTTTTTCCTTTAAAATTATAACACAAAATTTTCACACATGTTGTTGAATGACTGTCTGAAAGGTGCAAAATTTACTTTTTGAGTGAAAGGCATTAGCCACATCAAAATTCCAGCCTCTTTAAGCACCCTCAAATTTGGCACAGAAATTCAGAGAACAGACTGCATGAACAGGACCTTACTTAGCAAATTCCAGAACATAAACAAATGATGGCTATCCAGGAAGCATTCAGAGAAGATCAAAGCCCAACAGCTGCTGGAGAAAAGTTAATATGAGGAGGAGGAAATGGTGATGAATCTGGTTCTTCACAGGAATTCATTCTCTCTCCAGTACTATTTGAAAATAGTCCCTTGAATGCCCTGATAACAATTCTATTATAGTTTTTCTGGTTGCAAGCCATGTGGAAGATGGCACTGCTGCAAAAGACTGCATACAATCGGAAGAGATGTCCCCCTTCTATAGCCAAGTAGACAATGGATCCATTTTGATGAGGGGAAAAAAATACCCACTAATTTTTCTAGCCATATAACCATGTTCATATTGCTACAGAGAACACTTGAAGGACTTCATTTACAATGTAAAAGGTACAATAACGGGACAGACGCAGACACATTTATGCTTTTCTAGTCTACTTGGCGGGGCTGGGTCCCTTGGGGTGAGGAGGGCTCTCACCCCCCCCCCCCCCCCACTGCCTGGCACAGCAGCTGAACCTCCACTACCCAATCACTGCCATGCTCCAGGCAGCTTTTCGGACACTCAGGCCAAGCCTCACGCATGAATGAAGTCCCATGGAACCCAGATAATGTGGAACTTCGTGACCCTGGACTCTGGACTCAACAGGATCCTGGAAAAGAGATCCTCTGCCTGCTTTCCACAGTCTCCAGTGACTCAGGGATCACACCCATAAGCCACACCCTGCAAAAATGGTCAATTCTTCATAATATGATGATATGATGATATCCTAATACATTATTTTTCTATTATATAGTACCTCAAATTATTCCAGAGTATTTCTACCTAAGAAATAGATTCTGCTGGTGGAGAGCACCCAGTCCCTTCTCTTTTGTCTAGTGTGAATTGATTTTTGCTCCAATATACTTCCCGTTTCTAATTAGGCTTAAGCTTCTCTTCTGACGTCATACAATACTACTCCTAAGTATACAGAAAAATGTGTATCTGTGTTACCAAATGAAATAGGCAAAAATGTTCACAGCAGCACAATATGCAGCAGTAAAACCAACAAATACTCCTATGTATCAATTGTATGAATAAAAAAAATGTGGTCTGTCATATAATGAATTATAGCATTGTAGACTAATTGCTATATACATGAAAGAGTCTCACAAATACAGAGAGCAAAGCAGCTAGATACTCAGTCCATGGGAGGGAGGAAAGACAAAGAGACCCAGTGGGACATCTGGAATGCTCCAAATTCATTCTGGGTGTTCTGTTCATCCTGTAAAAAAATTCTGAGCTCCACGTTTATGATATCTATATTTTCCTCTACTTCAAAAATAAATTCTTTAAATATATCCACACTCAGAACAGACTCACTGAATTTAAGTTCTCAAGTATAATTCTAAGGCCAATCTGGTTCCAATCTTCGTGGCTGTTTCCTGATACTCTACTTTTGCTCCCTTCTGCATTCTCCAAATGCTTGTCCTGTGCACGCGTGTTTTGTTCTGTATAAAATACCTTTTTTTTTTTATCACTTGGCAACTCATCCCATCTTTTAGACGGTAATTAGATAAATCCTCTATAAAACAGAGCCAAAGGAGAGAGCGAACAAAGGGTCTAGCAGAGACACAGGAAGCCTGTCACAAGGTCTGGTTTGACGGCACAGCACAGAGATAAGGCAGGAGGAGTTGTTGCTAGGAAGGGAGCTGACAGAGGACAGAGGTACACACACAAACAAAAGAAATGGAAAGTTTCTGGCTCACCTCCTTAGACAGTATAAAAGGGGGAGGCAACTGTCTTTTACCAGGATCCCGACCATTACGGAGCGGGAATTTCCTAGTCTTATTTTGCCTTCAATAAAACTTTACTTTTTGCCCTGCTGCTGATCATCAGCTGCCTCTCCTTTGTTGAAAGGTCAACAAGAACCTAGCTATGTTGTAACAATACTTTATTGGGGGGGGGCAGTTTGGGCCCCACCTTGTGGTACTCCAAGGCTACTCCCAGCTCTGTGCTCAAAGAGCCATCCCTAGCTGCGCAAAAGGGACCATAGAGGCCAGGGATCAAACCAGGGTTAGCAGCATTCAAGGTAAGCACCCAAACCCTGTTCTATATCTCCAGTCCTGTCCTCTGAAACTTTTTAGATTCCATCCCTCCCTCACTTTTGGTTTCTTTGAGGGCCACACCTGGTTGAGCTCAGGGTTTACTCCTGACTCTGCATTCACTCATGACAGAGCTGGGAGACCATATGCAGTACCAGGGATTGAACTGGAATTTACTGCATGCAAATGCCTTCTCTCCCAAACCCATGAACTGTGGACACCAATGGTGCAAGACCCCATTTCAGTGGCATTTGTTATACTCTACTATAATTGCCTTATTAGCTGCTATTCCACCAGACTGAACTCCCTCGTCCCTCTCAGTTACTACAGCTTCATCTTTGTGCTTCCAGGAAGAGTATAGCCCCATACCCACTCATTCACTCATTCCTCTGACTTGCCATGTGACACGGTATGCATGAAAGCTGTCTAGAAAAACATGAGTGAGCAAGTTTCTCAGAAACTAGG